TTGGGAAATATTTGTTCCAGATCTAGGAAGACCATTTAAGTGCAACATCTACCAATAAATTGGAAATGAGCAAATCAGTTTAAGTTGCTATTATTCGAAAAGTAGAGAACGAAACCTAATGGTTTTCTTTTATAATTTGTCACAATATCTTGTGGAATTCTGTCGAGTATTTCGCCTATATAAACTGTATGGTTTATTATAGTGTTGTAGGGTATTCAACGGTCGGCCCCGCTCGACTGTAGCCTTTGCTTACTTGTTTTATTTTTGAAAAAGAAATCACTTTAACACCAACGAATGGAAAGTAACCCATTAACCTTATCGAATGATTCATGGCAAAGCTTTTAAATTACTCACAATTCCAGGAAAAGAAAAATTCAAGTCTTATCGCTATATTCTTTCATGAAATTATTTATAGCAAAAAAAAAACATAAGTTTGAGCTGGTGACAATGTACATTAAACTATCCAGAATTTAATTCGAAGGCATATGCCAAGATTTTATTCTGTTATGCCAAGAGGGCATTCTGAATTGACAAAATTTGTCAAAATCGGTCCAGCCATTCTTCAGATATAAACATCCCCTTCCTTTGTATATATGTATTGTACATATTTCGCTATATATATCCGATATATTTACTATCGGCATCTACGTAACGGTCAGAATTGACCTGTTCGTATATTTGTGATTTCGCTGGTATTAAAAATATTCGCGGTTTATTGGAAATTTTGATTTTATTTAACACAAGCGATTACCATCAAAATTGGAAGACTTCTGCCCAGCCTTAAGCTCTAGCCGCATGCTAACTTCCGCGTCGATTGGTCTATAACAGCGACCTGTAGAGCAACTGCAAAATCAGGAAATTTTTCAGTATTTGGTCCATTTCAACCCCTAAATATTATGAGATCATCTCCAAAAGAAATAGGGTTCTATTCTGGCCCAAACCCCACCTCCATTCTAAATTTCGTGAAGATTGGACCATAATTGCGACCTGTAGAGTGATTACAAATTATCATGGACAGACGGATAGACGGAAGGACGGACATACATAGCTTGATCGACTCAGCTCGGCGAGCTAGGAAGATCCATATATAATTTCCTATATGGGAAACCAATATTTCGAGGTGTTACATAAATTCTGGCCCAATCAAACTTATAATACCCCCAACACATAGTGTTGTAGGGTATAAATATTATTATATCAGGATTTGTGGTATCTTCTATTGTGGTATTGCAGTGTGAACAACTTTTTGTGTTTCTGCTGGAGTTTTATTATGTTTGGATTTGAAACCACAATTGAATTTGTGTGATCGTAATGGTCAACATGGACATGCACACTACTGACACATGTGACAAAATCAAATTTCTGGAAATATATTTTTATATAATATTGGAAAAAGTGGTACTGGACAAATGATGGCGGCTAAGCATTTGTCAATCGTTACTATCATTTCGAAATAAAATATCATAAGAGCATTCTTTCGAAAAATATAATTTTAGCAGTGTAATGTAAGTTCGTATTAAATAGTTGCAGAAAGATAAAGGATAATCCGATTTTGCTCCAAGTTTATATATGGTAATATTTGCATAAGCATATCGATCCCCCCATCAAGGACCTCTCCCACAAAGGGTCAAAAATTTAAATAATTATTACTCTTATAAAATGTGTCGATTGTCTTCAAATTACACACATCACAATATTTTTATTAACACAAGGTCTGGTGTAAAGATGAGATATATTGGTCCACTCCTCCGATACCTCCTCCACAAAGGGTCAAAGTTTTGAGTAACCAAAACGATCATAAAATCCGGTTATCTTTATATTTCACACACCTCATTATTTTTACAACACAAGATATGCTGTGAAGATGGGATATATCTGTTCACACCTTCTGGTACCTCCCCCACCAAAGGTCAAAATTTTGAATATCCATGACGAAAGACGAAATTAACATCCGATTCCATATAGACTTGGGACCTCTCAATATTTTCATCAACACAATATCTGTTATAAAGATTTTGGAGATCGGTTCATTTCTTCTGGTACCTACCCCACATAGGGCTCAAAATTTTGAAATAAGCGAAATAAGCATCTAACTCTCTTCAAATTTCATACATACAAACTTTTTTGCTAACACAAGATTTGTTGTAAGGATGACATATATCTGTGAACCCCTTCTGGTACCTCACACACAAAGAATTACAATTTTCAATACTTTTACCTGTCATAACTCGCGAAACAAGTCAGCGACTCCTTACAGAGAGATGAATATGGAATTTATGATTTCGCATAAAATTTGTTATAAATGTTTGATTTTGCCCAATATTTTGATTTGTATGAAAATGGAATACTTCGGTCGACTATACTTGGTACTTAACTCACATTTTCTGAACATTATCATATATCTTACATAAAGTGAAGAAAGTCCAAATTGCCTTTATATCATACTAGCTGGCCCGGTCCGCGTTGCCGGCCCGTAGTTTTTGTCTATTATGCATATTTGTCAAAGCATAATTATTCACAGATATGACTGATATAAGTGTTCCCGTACTGGTCGATTAAAAGTGTTTTAAAATACCTGTACCCATATTTAAGCCGTGGGCTTCAAAGGTGTGGATGTGCTATACAAATCTATTAAAAAGTGTATATCAATCTTATCCCCATGTAAGGGATCAAATTAATTTTTAGTATGGTAAAAATCGTAGCAAAATCTTCCAGTGAAATGAGCAGTAATTTGGAATTTGCTGTATTTTGTACACCTCATAATTGAGCGCTGAATGAATTAAGAATAGCCAAAGTTAATTACTTTTTTAAGCCATTGTCCATTAGCGTTCTTATAAGTCCCCCTAACCATGTCGGTCTGTTTGTCCGCCAAAAAGTGGACTTGAGGGGGTACTATTATATGGAAAAAATTCTAAAATTTGTAGATATGTTCATATTTTTGTGTAAGTTTTCACCCCCCAAATACACATTTTTAGCCAAATCCTTTGAAATATGGTAAAATCAGGAGATACTTTTACATGGGCACTACTCCGAGACATCGACCTACATTGAAAACATTCTTCTAGCCCTTATAATCCAATATGACAAATAGAGACCAAATCAAAAATTTAACAGAACAACATATCATATCAAACTGAAAAACATTCCGCGTGATTTAAATGAGTAAAAATAGTTTTATCCACCATATTATCATATAGATGTATTTCCCAAATCTACGTTTCCAACCAATATTCTCTTGAGAGTTACAAATTCAATAGAATACAAAATTTTCTTTTCTGACCACACATTATATGTGAAAGTGGACTTGGGGATACTCCAATGTGGGGACTTTACTTAAATAAATTCCTATGTGGCAATTATCTGTATGGTGGTTCCCTAACCCCTTAGAGTCAAAGATGCCAAATAAGGGCCAAAAAATATGAAAAAAGTGGCCAAGACCCCAAAAATAGCTTAAATCGATATCATGACCTGCAAAAGTGATTTAAGGTATCTTGAATGTTTGGGAAGAATTCCTGGAAGGATAGAAATCCTTTTCTTACTAAAAGTCCCATTCGCTCTATTATTTTGCACCCTTTAAATTTGGTATTTTACTGATTGTACTTCCAAAGAATTTTGCATTTTGAGCTCTCATTGGACGGATTATTGTCACATGAAAGAAGTAGTTCCACGCTTTGAAATGAGCTCCATTAGGCTTTTTCTGTCATTTTTGGTTGTTTAAATGTGTTCGCAAATACAAATTAAAAAAAAATGACAAAAGAAGAATAACAAATTGAAAAAATCTTCAACTTGTTCGCTGATTTATTACAGCAAATGTTTAAAGACCCTTACTATTATTTTAAAATTCGATTCCACTGAAAATCTTTTCGATTTTTTCCCGATTTGATAATTTTTGCAATGAGATCTCTTTTTCGTGATTTTTTAGCGAATTTGAAAAAGTAATTATCTTTTAATTAATAATTATCTTTCTTTTGGTGTGACCGCGTTAAATTATTTCGATATCATCTATTCCGTTTCGCCACCATATAATTCGGTATTACACTTCCATGTAACCCGCCATCAATTTCAGTTCTCAAGAAATCAAGTCAATTAAATAAACTGGTTTTAATATTCGAATTCAAAAATAAAATATAAAAAACACTACAAATGTACATTAGAAAAAAGCCAGTCAAAATAGAAACAAATCATGCAAAATAAAACATTACTATTGTACATTTGAAAAGTCAAAATGAAAATGTTAATATATCACATTTTTACGCGATTTTTTTGGATATTATCCTTTTCGGAGAGGAGACAACTCCGAATTTGTATGGATCGTTAAAATCAGTCCAGCGGTTCTTAAGTTATAAGCGTAGTAACTAACATATAGATTTATTTAGGTCCGATACGAAATTGAGAATATTTGCCCATTCCTTCGGAACTTACTCCATAGAAGGCCAATAATTTGTATAATCATAACAGAAGTCAAAATACATATATTTGAAAACATTGGCTGAGGGTATACAGCTGTTTGCAAAACCAACTGATTTTTTTGTAAAGAACCAACAAGACTCTTCTGGTAATTTACATGAAGCTCAAATTTTCAATCAAAACAATCCTCGTATAGCAATATTGCGTAAGATACTATACATCTAAAATGTAAGGATTCTAAGCAATTTTAAACCGAAAATGTCCAAATAATATGGAAGAGGTAGAATCTTAGCTCCTCTATTTAGGTCAATTTGAAATGTAGACTTAAAAGCCCCCGATTCATATATATAATATGAAAGAGGTAGAATCTTAGCTCCTCTATTTAGATCAATTTGTAATGTAAACTTTTAAGCCCCCGATTCATATGTCTTTTATTCTTAGTAAAGTAATTAACATGTCCAATTTCAAGGACGTTGATTTCTTCTAAAATTTATTGTAGTACCAATCCTTATTCGGTCAATACCACCTATAGTCCTTGGATATATAGTATAAAAGCGGCCACAACTTGCGAATGAACTTCTGTTCTAAATAACCGCTCGTACAGTTTACAAACACACGCAACTGAGTCTTTTTTATCAGTTTCCTTGAAAACCCCTATATATATATAAGAAATATGAAGACATATGGTAAGCTGAAGCACTAGAATCGAAAAAATCTTTTTTCAACTTAAATTAGCTCTGGTCCTTTAATTCCCAAGTAAATACTCCCGATCAGAGGAAGTATATTTTTTATCGTGCTCCGGAAAATGAAGAATTTCATTTCGAAGTATGCTGTAGCAATGATTGTCATGTGGCCTTGACCAACGATCCACATGAAACCGGTCCGATGTATGAGATAGCCATTGGTGGTTGGAAGAATACCAAGTCGATAATACGTTATGTTGGCAGGCAACCGGATGTCGCAGCTGCAGCTACTCCCAATATTGTCAACGAACATGAAATGCGTGGGTTTTGGGTTCGTTGGCGTAATCAAACAATTTCAGTTGGACGCAAGGGTGAAAGTTTGCCATTTATGTCTCATCAAGATTTGCAAATGTTTAATGTGAATTTCGTTGCAATATGTACCGCCTATGGGTCCACCGGTTCCTGGTTGTTCGATGGTACTGCTTTTTAAATTATGTTTATGTTTCTTTTATATAAAAAAAAATTAAAATTTTTTTCAGATCCATTTGCCGGTGTCTTTTGTGAAAAAGAAGCAAAATTGGAGAGTATTGAAAATATGAAATTTGGTAAGATCACAGCAGAACATTTCCGGAGGTGTTAAAAAGCTCTAGAGATTTTCCATCACTGTTCTAAAATCCATGAATTTTAACTTTCTCTCTCTCCCTTTCTGCCGTCCATAAAGTAAAAACTCCCAATGAGAAAAAATATAAATACTATCCGGCTCACGGGGAAATGTTCGCCTTCTATGTTTGCTGTGCCAATGATTGTCACGTCTCACTGTCCAACCACGCCGATAGGGTGAAACCATTATATGAGATTGCCATTGGTGGCTGGGCTAACACCAAATCCATTATACGCCTAATCGGCAAGGAACCCGATTTGGTTGCTGCTCAAACCCCAGATATTTGCAGTCCGCATGAAATGCGTGGTTTTTGGGTGCGATGGGATTACAATTGTATCCAAGTCGGTCGCAAGGGTGAAGCGGTTGCCTTCATGTCTTATCACGATAAAAATTTATTTCCAATTAATTATGTTGGTATATGTACGGCATATGGTTCTACCGGTACTTGGTTTGTTGGTGGTAAGTCTTTAATGGTCTGTTTAGAAATAGGTGGACTGATGACATTTTTTTTTTTTTGCAGAAAATACATTTGAGGTTTCCAGTGTTCCGGTCATACCTAATATGCTGGCTGATAACAGTAAATTACACAAGCGTAAGATAAGTTCAAAACTTATCATATCGAAATGAGGTGAATTGTTCAATCCGCGGGGTTAATTAACTCCGTCATGAACAAATCGCTGATAACACTGTGCTACAAAATTCAATTATAAAAGTAGAGCTAAAAAGATAGAAGATATTTTGTCGGCATTTTGAGAGTTTACACAGCAAAGTAACCTACATTGAGCGGACTCATTTGAATTTTATGTATGTAGGATGGATCCTTGCATAGAACTGTCTATATAGGTCCGCGTCTTCGTATATCCCCCATATATCCATACTTTTCACCGGAATTTCTTCCAAGTCATTACATGGCCTCCATATAACAGTACCTCCCAATATGCGGTATTTTGAGAATTTTAGCTACACTTTTCAACAGAATTATATAAAACATTGTATTTGGAGTTCGTAATTGGCACCGCCTTCTCTGGCAGGGACTATAATGTTTCATTTAATGGCAATACTTTACATTCGGATTTTTTTTAAATTATAGATCAAGATCCTTCCGCGTGGTGAAGGGCAGGCCGAACTCAGTTGCTTTTTTACTTCTTAGCACTACTTTCAATATCTAATGGTGTTTTTTTGTAATTATGCCAAAATTTGAATTAGGTCGCACAGTGTAATTCATATAATTAAAGCAAGAAAAGTGGATAATTTTCGACATTGGGCAAACTTCTCGCATTGACATAAATTTATATATTCCCTCCTTCCAGTAAATACACCAAATGAGAAGAGATATAGATTCTATCCGGTGCATGGCAACTCATTTTTGTTTAAAGTCAAATGTGCCAATGATTGTCACGTGGCCCTGTCATCGAACAATGAGGAACGTTTGCCTTTGTATGAAATAGTCTTAGGTGGCTGGGCTAATACCAAATCGGTAATACGTAAAAATTACAAAACCCCAGATCTTGTGGAGGTACAAACGCCTCAAATTGTCAATGCAAATGTATGGCGAACTTTTTGGTTGTGTTGGCAAGACAATGTCATTCAGGTGGGCCGTGAGGGGGAATCATTGCCTTTTATGACCTACAAGGATCCAAATTTGTTCTGTGTAAAATATTTGGGCATTTGTACAGCGTATGGATCCAGTGGTTCGTGGTTGTTCAACAGTGAGTACGGAATTGGGTTTTTAAGAACGATAAAAGAGAGCTAGTTTTTTGTACTTTTTTTATCAGAATCCTTGGATGATGTTCTAATTTCGAATAGGATTTTGAAAGGTAAGGTCTTTAACTTCTTTGACGACAATTTATTTCTTTGTTGTTTTCTTGTATTTAGTTAAAACTCCCAAAGAGAAGTCCTATGTCTTTTATCCGATCCGACGAAATGTCTTTCAATTCAAAGTTAAATGTGCCCATGACTGTCATATTGCCTTGTCGGCCCAGCCATTGGTGGGTTTGCCCATGTACGAAGTTGTTATTGGTGCCATGAGTAATACAAAGTCAGTTATACGAGATGTTGACATGGAACCACCGGAGGTATTTGAAACCGCTTCCCCGGACATTGTGGATGCCCACGAGTTGTGCGGATTCTGGATACATTGGAATAATACGTCTATTGCAGTGGGTCGTGAGGGTGAAAAAATCTCATTTATGTTCCATAAGGGTATCAAACTTTTCCCCATCAAGTATATTGGGATATCTACTGGTTCTGGTGCAACAGGTTATTGGGAATTTGAAGATGAGTGTGGAACTGGTGGGAGTAATTAAATAATGAACGTATTTTTATTTTTGTAGATAATAATGCTTGAGTTCATTTTAAGTCGGCCACATGTCGTAAACATATTTTGAATGTTAATGTTTTAATAACGAAAATTATTCGTAAAACCTGCGAATATATATAATCCAATATAATCCAATGGTCATCCAAAAAGCTAGAATTCTTCCCCATCCTTAACTCTCTTCTCAGGCATGTCGATTGGCTTCAGTTGTATGATCAGTAATTTTTTTCTGTTTTGTTTCATTTGAGCCCCTTAATATTTTGCGATCATCTTTAAAAGCAAGAAGCCCTTCTGCATCTACAAATTTAGACCCATCTATATTATTTGCTTGTCTACGATACTTGGCTATATTCATCAACGAAATCAACATAAAAAAGCCAGAAGTTCGCCTTTTGTGTATTTCGGATATCGCCTGTAAGTAATGTTGGTATTTTTTCACACAAAAGTAGTGGTCCATTCTACTCGCTGTCCTTTGGTTTCTATTTGCGACTTTATAACGGCTGCAAAATCAGGAACATTTTTAGTGGTTGGTCCATTTCAATCCCTAAATATATTGCGGTCATCTTTGAAAACAATAGCTCTTCTGAGCCTAACCCTACCCTTGTGACAATTTTCGTGAAGATCGGACGAAAATTGCAATCTGTATATAATAACCCCAACCCGTGTTGTAAGGTGAAAAAAATTTACAAAATGTACATTTCAATAATATAAGTCAAATTGAAAAAATCGCATGCGATAAAAAATATGAAAAAATAAAAAATGTCACAAAATGCTACAAAGTCTATGATAACACCATTATTTGCACATTTTTATGCGATTTTTTTAGATTTTATTCTCTTATGCCAAGAGGGCATTCTGAATTGATAAAATTTGTCAAAATAGGTCCAGCCATTCTTGAGATATAAGCATTTTAGCTAACATCCCCTTCCTTTGTATATATGTATTGTACATATATCGATATATATATATATATATATATATATCCGATATATTTACTATCGGCATCTACGAAACGGTCAGGATTGACCTGTTCGTCTATTTGTGATTTCGCCGGGATTAAAAATATTCGCGGTTTAATGGAAAATTTTACTTTTATTTAACACAAATGCTGTGGCCCATTTCACCCACTAAATATTACCCGATGACCATCAAAATTGGCTTCTGCCCAGACTTAAGCTCTAGCCACATGCTAACTTCTGCGTCGATTGGTCTATAACTGCGACCTGTAGAGCAACTGCAAAATCAGGAAATTTTTCAGTATTTGGTCCATTTCAACCCCTAAATATTATGAGATCATCTCCAAAAGAAATAGGGTTCTATTCTGGCCCAAACCCCACCTCCATTCTAAATTTCGTGAAGATCGGACCATAATTGCGACCTGTAGAGTGATTACAAATTAACATGGACAGACGGACAAACGGACGGACGGACATACATAGCTAGATCGACTCAGCTCGGCGAGATAGGAAGATCCATATATACTTTCCTATGTGGGAAATCAATATTTCGTGGTGTTACATAATTTTTGGCCCAATCAAACTTATAATACCCCCAACACATAGTGTTGTAGGGTATAAAAATGTAAAAATTATGGTGTTCGACTTTGTTGCAGTTTTTTTTTATCTCACCCTGTATACACAGTTTTCAATTATCGTTGGATCCTCACAAAATTTTGCATTGAGGTAGGGTTAGGGTCAGAATTGAAGATGTATAATTAGGGGGTTTTGCAGTCGCTCTAGAGGTCACAAATGAACAAGTAAAGAAAGTCTTAAAGTCGGGTTGGGCCGACTTCATGATACCCTACACCACTTTGCTAATTTAGTAGAGCTGCGCATAACAATTAGAAGTTTTTATATGAGAATTCAATCATACACGCTATGATTATAATTATAATTTAAAGTTCAAAGGACTAAATATACCGAAGCATTTGTATCTTTTAAATTCGGACTTGTATTGCCCATTGGGTGCACAATTAACTTGAAATCGGATAAAAATATATATGGGAGCTATATCCAAATCGGAACCGATCTCTATAAAATTTGGCAATGATATTTCTGAGCTGTATTTGATATATTTCCCTGAATATCGTTGTTACGGAGTGCATATTACGGCTGTGGGTAACAAATATAACAAATAGGATGAACAGTATATATGGGAGCTATAGCTATATCTGAACCGATCTTCACCAAATTTGACATACTGGCTTATAGACTCAATTCGTAAGTGCCAAATTTCATCTCATTTGGGCAAATATAAGACGTTTGGTGCACAATCAAAGGTAAATCGGACGAAGTTATATATGGGAGCTACATCCAAATCGGAACCGATCTCGATAAAATTTGGCAAAGATATTTCTGAGCTGTATTTGATATATTTTCCCAAATATTGTTGTTACAGAGTGCATATTACGACTGCGAGGACAAAAATAACAAATTGGATGAACAATATATATGGGAACTATAGCTATATCTGAACCGATTTCGATCAAATTTGGCATACATATTTTCAGGCCTAATTTGGTTGTATGTGCAAAATTCCATATTATTCGGACTGATATTACACGTTTGGTGCACAATAAAAGGCAAATCGGACGAAGATATATATGGGAGCTATATCTAAATTTTGACCGATTATCTCCAATTTCAATAGGGTTCGTCCTTGGGCTAAACAAATGATTTGTGCAAAATTTCATCTGGATAGGGCAATAAATGCGAACTGTACTTTGTTTAAAAAATACATGGACAGACGGACGGACATGCATAAATCGACTCAGAATGTGATTCTATGCAGATCATCAAAAGGAACTATGGGTCTATCTCGTTTCCTTTTGCCTGTTACAAACAAATGCACAAAGACACAATACCCTGACCACCTTGTGGTGTGGGGTATAAAACAATCGACATGCAAATTAAGGACAGGAAAAAAGTCTAGTATTTCGGATGAACATTGGTTTATATGGCTGTAAAGCTGAAACAACTTTCATGTTTTATGAATATCTAACAACAATAAACACGTCAATTTTGGGCAAATGTCCCCGATCATAACCTAAGGGTAACATCTAGACAGGGCTCCTCTACATTATTTCAAAAACTAAGTCTTCCAAAAAGACTTATATGTAATCGAAACAGCCTTTAATATATTATTTTCTTCTTCGAACTAGTGCACCACAAATGCATCATAGTTCTCATTTATATCTCATCATTTTTTTTTGTTCAAAAATATTTAATTCTAACGAATTCACAATTTTTTACTAAGTTACACAGTGCAAGGTTTAAGGGTAATAACAATTTTTTTCTAAAATCCAATTGCCCTTTTAAGGTAAATAGTGGCCATATTGCCAATTGGTTGTGGTTGCATCGGCATAACTGGGCAACGTTTTGGGTGTCTTGTACATGGATTTTGCAAATGCCGTATAGTCCTGTAAAATATAAAAACAATTAATTACTTCATCTGTGTCATCTCTGTATATATGTATTCCGATTTACCTTATCCGCCTTTCTACGCCGTCCTCCGATATCATTATAATCTGGTGGCTTATCATTCGAAGGGGGTGAGCTGATTTTCTCAGCCGCACTCAAAGGTTGTTTCTCAGTAACCACAATGGGAGCAGTATATGACTTCATACCCAAGGTCATGTTGATCGGTGGTGGTGGTTGATTTTGTATTCGCTCTTCGATTTCTTCCAATTCTTGCTGTAAATTTAATTTTGATAAATTTTTCGATTCGATAGCCAAGTAGATTGGAAAATAATTGTAACGAACGAAATATGATATTTTCCATATAAAATGTGTAGGAAAATCACAATATTGGAGGAACGTTGGACAAAACGCAGTTTGGAAACATATATATTTTTTTACCCTCCATCATACATAGTATAGAGAGTATATTAAGTTAGTCATTCCGTTTGTAACTCATCGAAATAATAATTTTAGACCTAACAAAGTATACGGGGTGAAATAAAAAACTGCAACAAAGTCAAACGCCATTATTTTTCAATTTTATTTAATGAAAGCAAAAAATGTCGGAAATAGCATCAAATTTTAGAATAAGTTTAGATTTGTTCGAATTGGTCACCTTTAGCACGAATTATGGCCTTCACACGGCCAATAAAACCGTCACACACTGCCCGAATGTTGCTCTGCGGCATTTTGGCCCATTCCCGGCCAAGCGTTAGCTTGAGGTGATCGACACTTTGGTATTTTTTAGTGCCAACCTTGCTTTCCAAAATACTCCAGACATAATAGTCCAACAGATTGGTATCTGGAGATTTTGGTGGCTGACCTCATTGGCAAGTAAACACGATCATTTTGTTTGTTTACAAACTGCTGGACAACGAATGTTTTCTCATCGGAGAAAACCAAATTCGGCAGTTCACCACTTTGGGCCAAGCGAAGCAACTCTGTGGCTCTTTTGAGCCTATTTTTTAACGTTGCGGTGAAGTTCTTGCACTTTTTGGAATTTCAATGGCTTTACCCCGAGCTCATTATTCAATATTTGCCGAATGGAATACTGCGATATGTTCAGCTCACGAGTTATTTATCGGCCACTTCGACGCGGGTTTCGATCATGTCGCTGCTTTGCTTTTCCCAACTTCAAACTGCCGTCATTTCTAAGTCACTTTTCAAATTTAGGAAAAAATACAGGGTGGGACGAAAAAACTGCAACCAACTTCAAACTGCCGTAATTTTTAAGTCACTCGTCCGACAACTTTTAAAATTATTCTGGTGACAGCTCATTATATAGTCTTCAAGCGTACAAAAGCATTTTGGTGAGAATTTTCCAGAAAAAAAGTTATTCGTGATGGAATTCAAGCGTGATGGTGTGATTTCTTTATATTTGGCTGGAAAACCAAAAGTGGCTATCGTTAGAGCATTTCAGCATTTAAATGTGAATGTGTCTCGTACCACGCTCGTTACTGTGTTACTAGTAGTGTAGCCCGACGTCAAGGAAGTGGACGGAAGAAAACACCAACATCAGAAGAAATGTTTCGAAAAGTAAAGAAGCGACTTGATCGAAATCCGCGTCGCAATGGCCGAAAAATGGCTCGTGAGCTGAACATATCGCAATATTCCATTCCGCAAATATTGAAAAATGAGCTCGGAGTAAAGCCATTTTAATTCCAATACGTGCAAGAACTTACAACGTAGCAGAAAAAAATTGACCGTTTGATTTTTCAGGACGTTTGTATGGCCTCAACCACATCCCCAATATTTTGAGTTCTTATTATGTAGAAACACTACTCTCAATAAATTATCAATATTTGTTCATGATTTGGTTTGCGTCTTGTCCCTATTTTCGTAAAATATAGTTTGTAACAAAAAAATTATTTTTGGGTTCCTCGGGAAAGATACCCTTTTTCCTTTTTTTCTCATAGAACTTACCCGATTCTTGTAGACCATGCAACAGGCCCTCAATGTAAAATAGTAAATAATTTCCACTCCAGATAGCAAGGAGAAACCCAAAAACAAACTGGCAATACCGCCGAACGACACCAGTAAATCCACCCAACCGAAAAGGACTTCACGTTTGTAGCGGATAATGGGCCATGTGAGAAATTCCACCAAGACGCCAGGGGCATCAGGACGTTCAATGCTGAATACAATTAACAAAATCAAGTTAAGAATAAATATAAAATTATGTTCTTAAAGAGCCCATACTTTTTGATTAACTTTTCAATATTGTAGACCGTTTTGGAACAGCTCAGTTCGCATTGCATACAATCCTTGATGTTGGTTATATTGTTACGATAATCGGTCAAACAATCCAAATCATTTAGGCCACACATCTTAACATTGGCTGTAAAATATGAATGTATGAAATATTAAAGTTTTTTTTTCGAAATTTCTCTTACCAATTGGTTTGTAAAATGGCGGCAAACACTTGCACAGCTTGATGGCCTTTTTCATTCGACACTCTTTCATGCATGACGAAAATGTGTATTCTTCAGGAAAATATTTCAATTTGATTTCATCATGGAAAATACATTTACGTTGTCTGAAAATGATAAGTAGAAATAATATTTAAAAACCCTATATGGGAAATTATTTTCAAATTTGAGTTTTACGTTTCAAAAAAAAAATAAATAATTTTTGGTACATAGCTAGAGAAAAATATTTATTCGCGTTCTTAAAATTGGCTACCCTTTTCAAATTTATGAAAAATACAGGGTGAGGCGAAGAAACTGCAACCAACTTCAAACTGCCGTCATTTCTAAACTCCTTCTCAAATTTAGGAAAAATACAGGGTGAGAGAAAAAACTGCAACCAACTTCAAACTGCCGTGATTTATAGGCCACTCGCCCGACAGCTGTTAAAATTATTCCGGTGACAGCTCATTATATTGTTTTCAAGAGTACAAAAGCATTTTGGTGAGAATTTTCCAGAAAAAAAGTTATTCGTGACGGAATTCAAGCGTGATAGTGTAATTTCTTTATATTTGGCTGGAAAACCACAAGTGGCTATCGTTAGAGCACTCCAACATTTAAATGTGAATAAATCTTTTGTGTCTCGTACCACGCTCGTTACCGTGTTGCTAGTAGCGTAGCCCGACGTCAAGGAATTGGACGGAAGAAAACAGAAACATCAGCACAAATGTCTCGAAAGGTAAAGAAGCGACTTAATCGAAATCCGCGTCACATTGGCCGAAAAATGACTCGTGAGCTGAACATATCGCAATATTCCATTCGGTAAATATTGGAAAACGAAAAATATTGGAAAATTTCCAAAACGTGCAAGAACTTACACCGCAGCAGAAAAAAATAGACTCAAAAGAGCAGAAGAGTTGCTTCGCTTGGCCGAAAGTGGTGAACTCCCGAATTTGGTTTTCTCCGATAAGAAAACATTCGTTGTCCAGCAGTTTGCAAACAAACAAAATTATCGTGTTTACTTGCCATAGAGGTCAACTGAAAATGTGCACCTTCGACGGCCATGGTGATGGTGTGGGCCGCCATAACAGCCGATGGTCGCTCTCCGCTCCTATTAATCAGATTAAATGCCGAATATTATCCCAAAAATATTTTGGAGGGTTTATTACAGCCTTGGGCATGCAAACATTTTGCCCATTTTGGTTACAAAATGAGGTTCCTCGCAACAGAAAAAATAGACTCAAAAAAAGCTAAAGAGTTACTTCGTTTGGCCGAAGATGGTGAACTGCCGAATTTGTTTTTCTCCGATGAGAAAACATTCGTTATCCAGCAGTTTGTAAATAAACAAAATTATCGTGTTTACTTGCCAAAGAGGTCAGCGGAAAATATACACCTTCGTTTGGCCACCAGAACTCGGTTGCCGGCCATAGTGATGGTGTGGGCCGCCATAACTGTCGCTTTCCGCTCGTATTAATCGACCGTGGCATCAGAATAAATGCCAAATATTATCGCAAATATATTCTGGAGGGTGTATTATAGTCTTGTGCACGCAAACATTTTGGCCCCAGACCTTGGACATTCCAACAGGACTCAGTACCATCGCACTCAACACGAGCCTCCCAAGAATGGTTACAAACTGAGGGTCCTCTCTTCATTTCCAGCGCACAATGGCAAGCAAAATCCGGATACCAATCTGTTGGACTATTGTGTCTGGAGTATTTTGGAAAGCAAGGTTGGCACTAAAAATACCAAAGTGTCGATCACTTCGCCGCTTCGCCGGGAATGAGCCAAAATACCGCAGAACAACATTCGGACAGAGTGTGACGGTTTCATTGGCCGTTTGAAGGCAATAATTCGTGCCAAAGGTGACCAATTCGAATAAATCTAAACTTTTTCTAAAATTTGATGCTATTTCCGACATTTTTTGCTTTCATTCAATAAAATTAAGAAAAAAAAATGTTAAAATTATGGCGTTTTACTTTGTTGCAGTTTTTTTTCTCACCCTGTAGTTTATTGTTATTAACCGCACAATAGTTGAAACATATGTTATTTTTTAATCGAGAATTCAAATTTTAATCAAATACTTATAATGTTTTTTTTTTCTCGAAACACTACACTGGGTACTCAATGAGCTTTGGAGTATTTGGGGTTATAGTCAGTGGAGGTTGTCACATTTCTTAACTTGAAGTTTAAATTTGAGTCATATTGCGTACAAATCAAACCATAACTTCTTACCCAATGGACAATTGTCGAGCATCATCTGTGGTATAGGTATTCTTTTTAGAAATGCGCACTTCTACGACTTCATTTTCGGACCATTCAATTTGAGGGTTAAAATCTTGGCCAAAATATTCTTCATTGGAAAAAATGTAGATCTAAAACAAAGAAAATTTCGTATATTTTACTAATTTCAACAACAAAAGATTCCTGCTTACCTTTACTGTACTATTGGGTACGAAAAATAGGGCCCATTTCTTATCGGTTTCATATAAATCGTGAGGCGAGCCGGAATTAATGCTTCAAAAATATTTCAATGTTATTTTTACTTAATAAAACCTAAAAAGGAAACTAAAACTTACTCTGCATCTTCAGTTGATTGAAAGCGACTATTGAAGGCAAAACAATAACCATGTTCTGTGTAGACTGGTTTGAAAGCTTCACAGCACTTAATGGGCTCATCGCGATATTTACATTCGGTTAGGACATCTTCACAATTGATGACGGACTGGAAAAAAATAAAAAAAAAATAAGAGAAAAAAATAGTTATACAAATTTTTACCTCAAAAGCCCATTGGCGCAGGGTTTTTTGATGCACCGCCTCCATTTCAACGGAACTTGCAATGACAGCAGCCTCATTGAATGTCTCATACGATAAGGAGGGCAACAGCTCCAAAAACGGTACAATATAGCCAGCCAAGGAGTAATCATTATCTCTTTAAGGGGGATTATAGAAATAGTTTCGATTTTGAAAATCCTAATCCAGAAATTACATAACACTTACGCCAATTGACTCAGTGCCACCTCAAATGCCCTATCATGATCGAAGGCTATTTCGGGACAAACAACCGTTGTAGGAAACACAACATTTTGATTATGGAAATCGGTATCCAAACCTAAAGTGAAAATAAAATAAAAATATAATTGATTCTTAGTGATATTGTCACATTCGTTGTAACCTGTAATAGTTGGGTTGGTTTGAAATTTCTCCCAGAGACTCATAATAATCACAAGAGCCGTTACTGCACCAATTGAAGTAAAACAGAACCACATGAATCTGAAAAATTGAAAGAATGAACATAATTTTAACTACACTGAGAAAAAATTTAATTTTTCCCAAAATTGTAGGAAAACCCCGTATGTGCAACACAAAAAATAATTACGGGGAAAATAAAGCAAAAACAAGTAAAAAAGCAGTAAGTTCGACCTGCCGAACTTTGAATACCCTCCACCATTTGGTCCGTTAAAAATTCTGTTAAAACCTTAAAAATACCGAATATAGCCGCATATTGGGGTCTACACGAAGACGTGGACCTAAATAGGCAATTATTGCCATAGGCCATTCCAATATTCAAATACGAAACTTAAAAAAAAATCCGGTGAATAATGTAGCTAAAATCATAAAATACCGAATATAGGGAGGTACGGTTATATCGGGGATACACGAAGACCTGGACCTGCATAGACAATTTTCTGTCACAGGTTGTAGTACCTATTATGAACTTCAAATACGAAATTTCAAACAATTTCGGTGAATATTGTACCTAAAACCATTAAAATACCGAATATAGGGAGGTACTGATATATGGGGGCTATGCGAAGATATATATATATATATATATATATATATATATATATATATATATATATATATATATATATATATATATATATATATATATATATATATATATAGACAATTTTCTATCATAGACTGTAGCTCCCATAAAAAACTCTAAATACGAAATTAAAAACAACTCCGGTGAATAATTTAGCTAAAATCGTCAACATATCGAATATTTGGGGTACCATTGCATGGGGATATCGTGGACCTATATAGACAATATTTTTCCAGGGGGAAACTCCAAAATTTATTCGTTTTGACTCTAGCGTGATTACAACAGAGGGGCTAAACCTTCTTAGAATTTTATGCTGATCATATATGTTATGCCTAAATTATTGTCTCGATGAGCTACAAACGGAATGTCGAACTTCATATTCCTTTCATACCATGTATGGTGGAGGGCATAAAAATATTGCGGTATGTGAAGTTTAATTCGATTTCTTGAGACATTTTTTGAATTATTCGTTGTTAACGTATAATATACAATTTTGGTCCGAACTTACGTCAATTTTGAATATGGATTTCATCAGCCAACGCCTTCTGGTATCTTCCTCACAAAAATTGAAATTTTCAAAAAAACAAAAAAAAAAAAAAAAAAAAAGTAAAAAAGCAGTAAGTTCGTCCCGGCCATTTTTTTTTGTGGATTTTTCAGACAATTTCTTTGAAAATATTGGCCACAATCATCAAAATACCGAATATCGGGGGGTATCGTTATATGGAGGCTATACGATATCGTGGACCGATATCGCCCATCTTCGAACTTGACCAGCCCTTAGCTTTCTAAATTTATTCGTTTTGACTCTAGCGTGATTACAACAGAGGGGCTGGACCCTTTTAGAATTTTATGCTGATCATATATGTTATGCCTAAATTATTGTCTCGATGAGCTACAAACGGAATGACGAACTTCATATTCATTCCATACCATGTATGGTGGAGGGCATAAAAATATTGCGGTATGTGAAGTTTAATCCGATTTCTAGAGACATTTTTTGAATTCTTCGTTGTTAACGTATAATATACAATTTTGGTCCAAACTTACGTCAATTTTGAATATGGATTTCATCAGCCAACGCCATCTGGTATCTTCCTCACAAAAATTCAAATTTTCAAAAAAAAAAACAAGTAAAAAAGCAGTAAGTTCGGCCGGGCCGAACTTTGAATACCGTCCACAATTTGGAACGAATTAGAAAATTTTCAAAAAAAAAAAAAATCCATAAAAAATTCTGTTAAAATCTTAAAAATACCGCATATCGAAAGTTGCCGATATATGGGAGATATATATTTTGGACCTATATAAACAATTCTCTTTCAGGGGGTAAAGTACTCACAAGGAATCCTTGTGGCTAAAATCGTCGAAATACTGAATATCGGGAACTTAATATACCCTCCATACTATGTGGAGGGTATAAAAAAATATATAAACCTCGTGCAAAGCGTGGAAACTATGCGATTTGTTGGATATTTCGAAGATGTACAGAATAGGTCCATTCATAAATCGCATAAAGTTATTTGTTGCTTTTTTTTCAAAAATTGCACATCCGACAACACTTTCTTTGTTAGTCAGTTTTTTTTTGTAAATTCTGCACTCAAACAAAAAGTAAAGCCAATGAACGAACAAACAAATTAAAAATGCTTAAATTTTTCGTATGGCCTCACAAAGTATAAATCCATTAATATATATATATATTGATTCAGCAAAATCGAAAGATACGTTTTGTATGATAATTTCTTCTTGGAACACTCACTTTTCACCCACTGGCCTTCCCGTTTCTGCAATATAACGCACTCCATGCAATGTTGAGTTTTGAAAGAATTCTTTTGTTTGAAAAATCAGACTGCGACGAAAAATCACCACCGTATCGAAAATTTCCTTAAGTTTCACATTTTTCTTTAACTTCATTTTTTCGGTTGCACAAACACCAAGAACTTGTAATTAACTAAAGTCTAAATGTTGCTTTGTCAATTTACCGCGATAGCTTACAAATGTTTAGTTCGTTTCGTAATCAATGGAAAACTGATTTTGATTTTCCATTTATTCTACGCCTTTGGTTAATAACTGGACATTAATTGCTCACAAAAGGTGGTGTCGGTAAAAGCATTTTTGTGTTATTTGTTGTAACATAATTTTAATTGCCACGAATAAAAGCAATAGATTTGTATCTTGATGTCAACTGAAATATACAAAGTTTCTAAATGTTTTAGGTTGAGATTTTTGTTGCTAGATAGTCTTTTGGTGAATTTTCATTATTATTTGTTCCAGTTAAAGAAAAGATACCAAAGAGTGTTGTTGTTTTAGTTTTCATCAAAGAAAGTTCTGGAAATATTAGCTGAATAAATGAAAAAAAAAATCCAAATCCATTTTGGACATTTCGCTTTTGAAATTATGTCACGGAGCACTGCCCAGATATTACCCTTAGCATTTTGAACAGGGACATTTGCCCAATATTTACGCAGCCCGTCGTGCTCTTAGTTGTTGTGGTCCATTTTACAGCTAAAATCATCCAATGGTTATCCAAAATGCTAGAATTTTTTCCTGTCCTTAACTTTCTTCTCGGGCGTGTCGATTGGCTTCAATTCTGTTTTTGGTTCATTTGAACCAAATTAAATTTTGAACCAATGAATAAACCAATGAATTTTGCGATCATCTCCCATCTCTCTGCTTTTCTACGATATTTGGCTATATTCGTCAACGAAATCAGCATAAACCAGTAAAGAAAGTCTTAAAGTCGGACGGGGCCGACTTTATGATACCCTACACCACTTTGCTAATTTAGAAGAGCTCCACATAACAATTAACTGTTTTTATGGGAGAATTCTATCATACACGCTATGATTATAATTATAATTTAAAGTTCAAAGGACTAAATATGCCGAAGCATTTGTATCTTTTAAATTCGGACATGTATTGCCCATTTGGTGCAAAATTAATTTGAATTCGGATAAAAATATATATGGGAGCTATATCCAAATCGGAACCGATCTCGATAAAATTTGGCAAAGATATTTCTGAGCTGTATTTGATATATTTCCCTGAATATCGTTGTTACGGAGTGCTTATTACGGCTATAGGTAACAAATACAACAAATAGGATGAACAATATATATGGCAGCTATAGCTATATCTGAACCGATTTCGATCAAATTTGACATACTAGATTCTAGACTCAATTTGGTAGTTAGTGCCAAATTTCATCCCATTTGGGCAAATATTAGACGTTTGGTACACAATCAAAGGTAAATCGGACGAAGTTATATATGGGAGCTATATCCAAATCTGAACCGATCTCGATAAAATCTAGCAAATGTATTTCTGAGATGTATTTGATATATTTCTCTAAATATTGTTGTTATAGAGTGCATATTACGGCTGCGAAGGACAAATATAACAAATCGGATGAACAATATATATATATAGGAGCTATAGCTATATCTGAACCGATTTCGATTAAATTTGGCATACTTATTTTCAGGTCCAATCTGATCGTACGTGCAAAATGCCATACTACTCCGGCTGATATTACACGTTTGGTGCACAATAAAAGGCAAATCGGACGAAGATATATAAGGGAGCTATATCTAAATTTTGACCGATTATCTCCAATTTCAATAGGGTTCGTCCTTGGGTCAAACAAATGATTTGTGTAAAATTTCATCTGGATAGGGCTATAAATGCGAACTGTACTTTGTTTACAAAAATACATGGACAGACGGACGGATGGATCGACTCAGAATGTGTATTTCGGATATCGCCTGTAAGTAATGCTGGTGTTTTTTCACACAAAAGTAGTGACCTTTTTTAAGATTTCCAAATAGGAATTATTTGTGAGTCTTTTTTTTTTCTATCAGCAAAACTTGGTAGGTAATGTAAGCAAAATAACTTCTGTAATACCAGTAGGTTGAAAATATGTTTCATTACCAAGTGCAGTAGTACTCATTTCTAAAAACCCTATCCTGCTCTCCTTCAGTGACCCTCATTCCAAATTACGTAGCATTGAGTACGAATTTCAAAAAACCCTGCCTTATCACACGCCTATGCACCAACACTGGCCCTCGTGCAAAGTTTTAAGATTCTAGCTTCAACCGTTCCGTCTGGGCGTTGACTCTGGAACAGTCTGTCAGTGGTAATATTTCCATCTGACTTAGGTTATGAGCGACTATTAAAATTTGAAAATATTGGACCTCTATTTCCCTTCTGTCTAAATAAAATGCGATATTATTTTCGAGTTTTCTTCAAAGTCTGCGCACAGCATTATTTCGAAAAGCATTAGACCTAGTATAAAGATATATATATAGTAGTCAAAAGCTGAGGCTTTATCTGTTGCAACACAGATCGATATTTTCTAACTATAATTGATTATGATTTAGTGCTCTTTTATGCCCAATTTCCATAATTGAGACCGCATATTTCAGAACCCATTCTCTAAATACAATGCGTTTTTTTTACTTTAGTACCCAATTAGTTCGAATATCCAACCAGTAAAGAAAGTCTTAAAGTCGGGCGGGGCCGACTTTATGATACCCTACACCACTTTGCTAATTTAGTAGAGCTCCACGTAACAATTAAAAGTTTTTATTGGAGAATTCAATCATACACGCTATGATTATAATTATAATTTAAAGATCAAAGGACTAAATATGCCGAAGCATTTGTATCTTTTAAATTCGGACATGTGTTGCTCATTTGGTGCACAAATAATTTAAAATCGGATAAAAATATATATGGGAGCTATATCCAAATCTGAACCGATCTAGATATAATTTGGCAAAGATATTTGTGAGCTGTATTTAATATATTTCCTTGAATATCGTTGTTACGGAGTGCATATTACGGTTGTGAGTAACAAATATAACAAATCGGATGAACAATATATATGGAAGCTATAGCTATATCTGAACCGATCTTCACCAAATTTGACACACTAGCTTCTAGACTCAATTCGGTCTTAAATGTCAAATTCCGTCCCATTTAGACAAATATTAGGTGCACAATAAAAGGTAAATCGGACGAAGTTATATATGGGAGCTATATCCAAATCTGAACCGATCTCGATAAAATTTAGCAAAGATATTTCTGAGCTGTATTTGATATATTTCCCCAAATATTGTTGTTACAGAGTGCATATTACAGCTGCGGAGAAAAAAAAATAACAAATCGGATGAAGAATATATATGGGAGCTATAGCTATATCTGAACCGATTTCGATCAAATTTGGCATACTTATTTTTAGGTCTAATTTGGGTGTATATGCAAAATTCCATACTATTAGGGCTGATATTACACGTTTGGTGTACAATAAAAGGCAAATCGGACGAAGATATATATGGGAGCTATATCTAAATTTTGACCGATTATCACCAATTTCAATAGGGTTCGTCCTTGGACCAAGCAAATGATCTGTGCTAATTTTCATCTGGATCGGGCAATAAATGCGACCTGTACTTTGTTTACAAAAATACATGGACAGACGGATAGACGGACGGACATGCATAAATCAACTCAGAATTTGATTCTATGCAGATCATCAAAAGGAACTATGGGTCTATCTCGTTTCTTTTTGCCTGTTACAAACAAATGCACAAAGACATAATACCCTGACAACCTTGTGGTGTAGGGTATAAAAATGCACCCGTATCACAACTTGTCCTAAATACCTTGACCTGGCAATTCTACCGGCAACTCAGTGTAAATGTTCAAAAATCCATCACCAACCCTCGTGTAAAATTTCCAAGTTCAGCGGCTCCGTTTGGTCGTTGAATTACTCACACTCAGTCATCACTTAGATCTTTTTATGTAGATATTTTTAATAATTATCTGTGCTTTATGTTGACAACTATAAAGTACAGGGAGATAATTGTTTGTCATATTTTATAAAACGTACATGTGTATGCATGTATGGATTTACGCATGCCATTCATGTACTTGACGTAGTTCTCCCATGTGAAATACCGCATGTGTATCGTTCCTATACATCTAATACTTAAATCTATTTTACATCTCATGGTTTGCAACTTGGAAGCATAAAACATATGTACATGCAATGTCTAGACTTTGACCTTTATGTTAAACCACCAAATTAAAAGAAGTTTTTGCGTTATTACCGCATTTCAATGCATGCAAATGTATGTTCGACACCACTATAAAGGTATAAGGGTATTATGTATTCGTATTTAATCTTAAATGTTTTTTATACAGGTTGTACATCAAAGTGTTACCTACCACACTTTATAAATTTCGACAAATCCTTTACAAAAATTGTATAACTTGCAAATGTGTAGGTTGTATATATATTTTCGCTATCAAAAAATTGTTTATTTATGCTACATTGCCCTTTAAAACAAGGGAGATTCGATATGAAAACAACAATGAGAAAATATGCATATGTGAAAATCATCAAAATCAGAAATAAGAAATGTTGGATCTAATAGATATTTGTCGGAAATATAAAAAGAAGTCGTTCTTTTTCATAAAAATGAAATATAAACAAGTAAAAAAACTGTAAGTTCGATCGTTGAATATCCTCCACTATTTGGAACGATTTTGGCAATTTTCAAAAAAAAAAAAAAAATAAAATCTGTTAAAATCTCAAAAATACCGAATGTAGTCGTTATATTAGGGTCTATACAACGATGTGGACCTGCATAGGCAACTTCGATCAATATTCAAATGCGAAACTTGAATAAAAAATTCGGTGAATAATGTAATAAAATAATGTAGCTTAAATCATCAAAAAACCGAATATAGGGAGGTACCGTGGACCTGCACAGATGATTTTCTGTCATACGCTGTAGTATCCATTACGAACTTCAAAAACAAAATTTGGAACAATTCCGGCGAATAATAATGTCGCTAAAATCATCAAAATACCAAAATCGGGAGGTACCGTTATATGGGGAATATACGAAGACGTGGACCTGCACAGACTGCACAGACTATATATGTGTTATTCTGTACTATATTTTACGAACTTCAAGCACCAAATTTGAAACAATT